TTTTTTTTTTTTTTTTTTTTTTTTTTTTTTTTTTTAATCTTTTCCCTTCTTCCATTTTTATTTTTGGGTTTGACTTGGAAGTTGCCTGTAACAGTTGAGAATGTGAGAGACAAACAGAGGGAGCTCATGTGAAATTTTTTGAAATGAACAAATTATCGAAATTTCCATTGCTTCTGTGGCTTAAACCTAATGTGGATACTGTCCACTTACTATTCTTATGAGGCTACTATGATATTCCAGGTTAGCAGTCGACTCTGATCGACATCAGCCATTTCTTTGGTTGAGGCTAAACAAAAGGGTACGGCCAAGGCCAACTCTAAGGAGGGCGGCCATATTGGTTTGTTACCATTTTCTTAGCCCAAAAATGGTCGGGATTCAGACCTGGTTCATTGGGCCACCAGCCCCTAAGACTATTAATTTGAAATGGACCTAAATAAGGTGATTTTTCTTTAAAGTAAAATAACATTTATGATATACATTGGTTTGGCAAAACTTTCCAACAAAGGATAAGTCATAGCCGTACCTTTCCCACAGCCCACGACTCAAGTTCGATATTGAACGCTAATAGATTGGTCCTTTTCACATTTTAAGATTGGTGTTAGCCATTGGTAATCTTTTTGACGTTGATGGATATTCTTGAGCCAATTTTTAACCAAATCATCAATGAATTTGGTTATAAATCCAAACCATTTGAAACCCAAATGGGGAATTGAATGCTTTTAGGATCTGTATTGTTAGTTATGTTCTCTAAATTACTTTTGGTGACTTCAATTGCTTTCTTTGTTCTTACCATATAACTTTCATGATCTTATTTTGTTTCTGTTATCAGTTCTATTCTTGTAATTTTATACCTTTAAATAAATGACAAATTATATTAAAGAAAACTTAAAGATTATGTTTAAATTATGCTTGAATTTATTTGTTTAGATCTAATTTCATTAAATTAAAAGTTAATTGAGTTAATACAAAAAAAAAAAAAATTTGTCAACGTCATTGATGACATGGTTAGATTTAGATGGGCGGTTTACAAAGTCAATGAAAAATGAGAATACAATAACAATCTCTTCCAAACTTAGACTAATACCTAATCCAATCATTTATTCTCCAATCCTCGCATTAATATTATTCATTTTTCCCATACTTTTTTACGTCACATAATCAATTTAAAACATATATTAAATTCTTTGTTCCGACCAGACTATTTAAGATATGATTTCTTTTCTTTACATGTGTTTTCCCAACAAATTGAATAAGATAGGTGTGATTTCTCTTTCTCAAATGGTGTATCTAGTCATGATATTTATATTTTTTTTGTACTAAAAAAGTATGTATAATTTTCTTGTAAATTTAGGTTAAAATATTATTATGAGCTAGATATCCTTGGACATCTAGCCCGTAAAATATTAAGCCAATGTAGAATTGACCTAAAGAGATTACCCCAAATCGTCCTCACAACAACGACAAAACGTTATGTATGCCCACGACGGTTACGATAGGACGTTGCACATACTTGATCAGTATGTGCCACTCTGTATCGCTTGCAAATGAGTACGCCAAGAGAGAGAGGTAGGTGAGAGGCAAGACCAAAATTGAGAGAGACAATGGTGCCTCCCCCATGCAGCTTTAGCACCACATCCACAACAAGGCAGCAGCAGTGGGATGGTGAAGTTGGTCGAAAGTGAAAGGTGCCAGAATCGTCTATTTGGTACTCAACCCATGCGTGTGGGAGAAAATGAGATAGAAGACAATAGATTCACTACCTAATGGTCCTGATATTTCCTTCCATCTCATGCAACAATAGACTATCTCCACAGACTAATACGAATCGTGTCTTCCTTTTCGGTAGATCAATCATAGGAACTCTATACTCCGTGCTTTGCTTTGAGCAATTTTAAGGTTGGGTGACCTTTTGAAATTTTTTTTAAGATGCATGTAAGTGAGGACAAAGTATGTTGGAAGGACTAGTGTTGGTTGATGAGGATAGTCTTCGTTCTTAAGAAGCAAGGAGTAGGTAATGTGACCTTGTCGCACGAAAATGACAGGGTCATTAGGTACCGAATCCAGACGTTTAAATTACTAAAATTGCAAATACTAGAATTATAAAAAAAATAAAAAATAAAAATAAAGTCATGAAATAGGGATATGATAATGAACTCAAACTATATACAATAAATTCATATCCACAACTACTTGCTTGATTATTTTGTCTATTAAAAAATTAAAATAAAATAAAAATAAATAAAAACACACATTGGCTTTCTTCCCAAGAAAATTTGACTTACTTTCCCTTTGACTTTTTGACTGAATTTTTCGAAATTTTAAAATAATATTATAATAATTTATTTTTACTCACAACCATTATTACCTATTTTTATCAATGTCTTTTCACAATCATAATTTTCAACATTAATATCATAACACAAAATTTCCCAACATTTCGATTTAATATTAGATTATAATAATAATAATAATAAATTATGAAATTTTATTATTTTCTGTCCATTATATTTTGTTATTTTATATACGGGATGTGTCCAAATATTATTTTCTTCCATACATAATATATCGGATGGCCTACCAATTTTGACTTGGACATTTCAAAAATCAATTTTAAATTTTAATTACAAGTTTCAAAATATTCATGAATCAATTTTAATTATTAAATAAAATTCGCAATAGTTGTCTACATATCATTTTATGGACAGATATTATTACACCTATAATTGGTCCTTACACATTTCATATAATAATAATAATATTGTCTTCGACCTTTTATAAAAATTTCAAAACTAACTTTTAACTTTACCAGAGATAGACGAAAAACTTTCACATGAGAATCAAAATAAAGATTCTTTTTTAATAATTTGCAGAGACCAAACTCTCTATAAAATATATATATATAATTTAAACCGGATCGAGAAACATACCATCATCTTAAATGTGATAGGAAGGAAGGTTCTTCACTTCTCTCGGTGTGTATATATATATATATATGGAAAATAAAGGGTGGATTTAAAAATTAAGTCAAACTAAAATGCAAAATAAATGATTTTTTGAATTACATCCTAACCAAGTCAGATTTTGGTTGGAGGTTCATTATTAGAATAAGATTTTCAATTAATTCACAAGCACTACCATATTATTTTAATTAATTTTAACGTGGCCTTTTAATAATTGGTTTTTTTAGATCTATTTCTCTAAAATATATAAATTTAACCAGCTCACAATATATAAATTTTTTTTAATTAATTTAACAAAAAAAAAAATATATTAATTTTTTTTTCTTTATCGTACTACTAATTGGTTAATGGAATTAAGAAAATGCAATAATGGGTGAGACTCAAATATATATAATTATGTCGTAAAAATAAATAATTTTAGTTTGTTGTAAAAAAATCAATAAATAAAAATTATATATAAATCGTTATATTTCAAAAAAGAGACCTTCCTCTCCTTTGAACAAAAAACATTTATCACATTATTTAATTTCTGACCATTTATTTAGACCATAAGTTTAATTGAAAAAAATTGAGGGAAATAATACAATTTATATAAATAATTAATTTAGAGGGAGCCAATTTCAAGACGTGGGGTCCACTCGCAGCGCATATATCTCAAATAAAAAAAAATAGTATTCGAAGAAAAGAAATGCTTTGAGTTCCTAAATTCCATTTATTCCTTTCATTTTCAATTATAAACCAAATATTTCAATACTATTTTCATTTTTTTAATATAAATTCTATTAATAAAAAATAAATCATATTTTAAACAAATATATAACATAATTTCTAAAAATTAAAATCCTCTTATGTAGAGGGGAGTAAAAATTTAGACGGATCTAAAAGACCAAGAATATAGTTGGTCTTGAGTCTTGTTTAGTTAACAAAGAGAAATTTTTGTTCCTTGTTGTGTGTCTACTTTCGGTTTAAACCTAGATTGTGTGTCTTGAAAGGGGCGTATTTAATATTTTTGTTTTAGTATTATTTTTGGGTTGAAAAATTAATATTAGAGGAGAAATGATGAGAGAAAAAACTTTACCTTTATTGGTGGCCCCTTGTCGGTAGAATGAATGGTAATATGAGACTATGAAGTATATATATGTATAAATAAATAAATGAATAAATAAAAAAGAGATAAACACAGCAAAAAAACAAGGAAATCTCGGTGTCTATATATGCGTTTGATGTTCCACTTGGTTCCCTCTTCCTGGGTTCCTCTGGTCGTGCCATTGTGTGAAAATAAAAAGGAAACAAAATATATGTAACAGAGAGAGCAGTAGAAGTAAAAGAAAGAAAGAAAGAAAGAAAGGTGGATCGGCGGCATGGAAAGCGGGCACTTCCATGGGACGCGGCGGCGGAGGAGAAAGAAACAGATCAACCCTTCCCTCTCTCCGCTCCTCTCTCCGCTCCTCTCCCAAATCAAGGTACTTTTTGCTCTTGGTTTCTCATGTGTTTGTTCTTTGTGTTCATCAAATCCTGTTCATTTCCAGTGTGTTCCCATGATTCAATATTAATTCCGTAACTCTCCATCTAACCTAATTGTTATTCTCTTTACGTTTTTGACCATCCACCAAACCTTTATTATTATTATTATATATATCCATACGCCTTGCTTGATTGTCAAATCTTGAAAATGATGCCTTATTTGGGCGTTACCCATGCTTGTTTTATTTTTTTTATATACTCTCTACTAAACCATTGGAATTCAACATTTTTTTGACGGGTAAAAGTGTGCAATAAAGGTAGGGATTGATGCATGTTATGCTACACAATTTGATCACTCACCACCCACCCACTTTTGTTTTTATTATTATTATGTTCTTTTGTGGTGCATGGGAAGGCTTATGAACTCAAGAACATGGGGGCGCTGTAGGGACACACATGCTTCATCTCATGTGTCTTCATGCTTCTTTTACTTCTTTATTTTTCATGTTCCTTTTAGGACGATTCTCTAAATTTCTCATATCAATCTCTCGTAGATTTACTTTTGGTTTCACCCATATATAGCATTCCTCCCTCAAAACAAAGTATCATAGAACTCAAAAAATTTAATTTTAAGACCCTTATAATCTCTCTCCAACTTATGTGAGATCTAACAAGATAGATCGTTCTCCTCTTCAATTGTCATGGGATACTCCTCACCCAAGGATTTTAATGTGTGATAACGACGGATACAGATTTAGAAATCTATATGTTTGTCAGTCAAGATACAAATTTGAAGTATTTCTATTGGTTTAAAATTGAGATTATTGTTGAATAATTTTGTACATACAATGTATTTGTATATAATATATAAATATAGAGCGGGGTAGGTCTTGCACATGCAGGCATTTGAATAATATTGGAATGGAGAGATATTGATTATAAATTGATATGATAATATGTGGGAATGTGATGGCAGAAACAGAGAGGAAGATACATTATAGAGGCGTGAGACAAAGACCATGGGGGAAATGGGCGGCGGAGATTCGTGACCCGAAGAAAGCGGCTAGAGTTTGGCTTGGCACTTTCGATACGGCCGAGGCTGCTGCCATTGCGTATGATAACGCCGCTTTGAGGTTTAAAGGCACCAAGGCCAAGCTTAATTTTCCCGAACGAGTTCAAGCCAACCCTGCTGAGTTTGGCTTCCTTCCCTCCACTGGCGGTGCCGCTGCAGCTCCGGCAACCGTAGCATCCTTGTCATCATCGTCGTCGTCATCATCATCTTCTGTTGCTCTTCTCCCGCCGTTGCCGCAGGGAGAAGCCTTCCCCGGCCTTCACCAGTACGCCCAACTCCTCTCCAGCACCGACGCCGACTTCCCTTATTATTCTTCCACTCTTCTCAACCAACAACCCCATTACCCTTTCTCTTCCTCACCCAGCCACCCACACCAACAAGACCACGATCACTACGGCAAAGATTTTGGCGCCGGTGGCTCAACCAATTAGACCCTTTTTATGTGCTTTTGTAGTATCACATTTTATATGCTTTGCTTTCACGATTCCTATAAACCATATAATTCTAAGTTAAATCCTTTTTCATTCCCCCTTCAACTAATTCTATTTCTGCATACAATAATAGTTAGCTCAAATAAAATGTAAATTAAATGTGACAAAATGTGATGTGAAAGGCTACTCCAACCACTCTTGGAAATGACCAAGTGGGTTTAATAAGGTAGGTAGGTATTATAGGAGGAGGCTCAAAGTTGATGAGGTTAATATCTATTGCTCCAATTGGGGAAGGAACTCAAGTTTTCATATTTTGTAAGCATAGAATAGGAGAGGATGGGATATGTTTATATTAGGGTAATTTAATTATGGAAGTTTAGGTACTTTAGCAGCATGCCAGAGTTGGTGTGGTTAAAATAATAGAAGCTATCAAAAAGTGATGGTTTGGTACTAATCTAATGAATTGCATTAAATAAAGGCTTGCCGACCTTACAATGGGCCTACCACACGAATCTAATCTAATTTCTTTTTGTTAGTATGAACAGTTTGTTGCTTACATTCATGAACCCAAAATTCTTAATCAACTCTCCTGCATCTCTCATGTTTTATTGCTTCAAAAAGCTTTATGCTTCTGGGCAAAAAAGATGATTCATCGTTCTTCACTAACTTCATCTATTATCAATCAGGAGATTAGAAGTTTGAAATCTCTTAATAAATAGAAATGATAGCTAATATGACATACTACTACTAATTGATTATGAGACGAGAGGTTTGAAACCTAGCTACCGTTGTGGATTGCAATCAGGAGATTAGAAGTTTGAAATATCTGTATGAATAGAAATGATAGCTAATATGTCATACTACTACTAATTGATTATGAGACGAGAGGTTTGAAACCTAGCTACCGTTGTGGATTGCAATCAGGAGATTAGAAGTTTGAAATCTCTGTATGAATAGAAATGATAGCTAATATGTCATACTACTACTAATTGATTATGAGACGAGAGCTTTGAAACCTAGCTACTGTTGTGGATTGTTGGGAGAGGAGTCCCATGTTGGCTAATTAAGAGGTTGATCATGAATTTATAAGTAAGGAATACATCTCCGTTAATATGAGATACTTTCGAGAAACAAAAAGTAGAGTCATAAGAGGTTATGTTCAAAGTGGACAATATCATACTATTGTGGAGGTCTATGACTCTTAACATACTATCAGAGTCGCGCCCTTAACTTAACCATGTTAATAGAATCCTCAAATGTCGAACAAATAAGTTTTGAGCCTTAAAGGTGTAGTCAACCGTGACTCAAGTGTCAAACACAGGATATACTTTGTTTGAGGCCTCGATTAAGGAGAAGGTTCCATAGATCTCAAAAAAGGCTCTAAGTTTACATGTAAAGAGTACATCTCTATTGATACGAGACATTTTATAGTGTCATAATCCCGAGATTAGAGGTTGGAAAGCTAGCTACAACATATAGGTTAAGTGGGCCTTGTCCACTTGTTTGAAGTGGGGCAGGTGAAATCGTTGAAAGCCCAAAAATGGGCAATCTTTTGGATTTCCGTCGGCGGAGAAGGATGGAGTGGAACTCAAATAAAGAATGGTGTGGGGGAAAACGACAAGAGAAAGGGAGGTTGTTTTGTACGTCCACGTAAGCGGCGTGGAAGGTGACGTGGAAATGGGGTTTGGGGGGGTTGCAGACCCATTATTGGGGTGGGGGGACCATTTTTCTTTGTAGTTGATGTTGATTAATTGGACACGTACGGCTCTGCTGCTTTCGGCTTTCTCTCCACGTCAACTTTTGCGGCTTTGCTTTGTTTAACTTTCCGTTGGTTCCTTCCCTTTTTTATATTTTCTTTCCTCTTTCTTATTCTCTTCAAACAACAAACCATATTCTTTTTCTTCTTCTTTTTATTTATTTATTTTTAATATTATTCCTCCACATTTTATCCGTGCCTTTGCATCCACCAATTTACTTTATTTCAATTTTCAATTTAATTCTAATTTTGTCCATACACCTTTTTTTGCTTAAAAATATATTGTTTTAACTAATTAAGTTATAATTTTGAGTTAAGATTATAAATTAAAATAATTAATATCTAATTTCTTGATGTCGCTACAATTTGAGAAACTTATGGGCTGGGCTGGGCTGGGCTGGGCTTCCAGTGATTTTCGGCCCATATTACAATGTAATGAAATCCGTCCCGGCCCACGGTCTGATTTTTTTTTTCTTTTGGGTTAAAAGAAGAAAATATTGACCGGTACGGCGGAGTCGGAAACAAGCGGGAGATTTTGTGGCGGAGGCAGTCTGAAATGGCGCGTGGATGTTATGTGCCTCCATTCTTTATCCCTCGAAGCTTCCTTCTCTTAGTTTTTCGGCTGATACTAAAACTAAGTTGCTGCTTCGTTCCGCAGCTTCTTTTCCTCCGCCATCTAAGTTATCAGCTCTCAATTGCAAGGCAGCTGGCCAAACCTCGCCCACTCCCACCGTCTAGCAGGGAGTTTATGGCCCTTGGACCCTTGATTCTTCCGACGTTCGAGAGGTTCAGCCTGCTTTCTCTTTCTCTTCTTTACTTATCCTTTAATTCTTTCTAATATTTGTCTCTTACGATTTGGATTTGCGTTTTCTTTGTAAGTTGTAACTGATTATTTGTATTAACTCCATTATTCATGTGCATTATTGTATTAATTCCATTTGATTAAAAACTCTCATGTCGATCGAATGAATCATCCTTTCCACGGATTACCCTAGGAAAATGAAATAGCCTGAATGGTAGAGGAATTTGTGTTTAGATAACTCCTTCCATGAGATTATGTAGGAATACTGTGCAAAAAGGTAATGTAGCCGCTTCTTCTAGCATCTTATCAAAATAAATCTCTTTCTTCTTCTTACAGGTCTCTTATTACCCTACCTAATCCTTTGACTTTGGGTCTTTAGTCATAAACATGAAACATGAAAACCAGTAATGAGTAATTCAACCTTTATATTACTGATTAGTTAAGTGATTTTAGGTTCATAATTTCTCGATTGCATGTGTATATGTGTTTCTCACAATTTATTTCACTCGAATTTCAAGATGATTAAACGAGAAATTCAAATTTCCTGTTTTTCACTACACTTAATGTTGGTGTGTTGTCTGGTTCTGGAATTTTCATGCAGCATACTTATTGTATAGCCTACCTAATGTTGTGTCATCTAAGCCTCCTTACCGACAAGATCATGGTGCCTGGCTCAATAATTATAAATGATTTGATCATAGTGCTTAAATGTGATAGCTGTCTTCATTTACTTGCTAGTAATTTAGGATTTGACGTGTACTCAATTTTCATTGGTGAAGACAATCTCATGCGTTTAAAGGGTTCTCATGGGTTTATAAGTAAGAATACTAGTTGTTATGAGGCATTTTGGGGGGAAAGAAAAAGCAAAGCTATGAAGCTTATGCTCAAAGTGGACGATATCATACTTCTGGAGGATCGTAGTTCTTAATAGAGGATTGGGCTTATCTTGAGTTTTGATCCACATATATTTGACTGCAATTAAGCACACTCTTCAATCTCTATGGGTGCTTGATGTTGCTGGATCTTTGTTAACTTACACAAATCTTGCACAACCAGCTGGGGACAGCATAGTGCAGTATGTTGTTGATAATCCATCGGCAGTCTGGTTTATTGGTCCTCTCTTTGCAGCACGGACTGGACTAGTCTTCAAAGAAGGTATTGGGTATTTTTAATATCTTCCAGGACTTTTAACTTACTATCTATGCCTTTAATGTTGTATTGATATGGCAAGCAAATTATAAGAAGGAAGAAAATATTGAAGATTAGTATGGTCGTATATTGATGAAGTCTCATATATCTCCATTGTAGTCTTGATGAAGCAGGCAAATAATAAGAAGAAAGAAGATACTGATGAAGCAGGCAAATAATACGAAGAGAAGGCCTTGATTCGAAAGCTTGAGCAGCAAGAGCTTAGTAAGAATGGTGATTAGAACATTTGGATGAGAACCATCAGGAAGAACAGTGTCAAAGGAGTCTTACTGTACAGGACGGTATGTCTGTACTGTCTTAATGCAGCCTGTATTATAATGATTAGTTTATACAGAACGCACTTAATTAGTTTTCTTTCAAACCTGTTTCCAGAATAAATGCCACTCTGATAAGCAAATGGCTCAATTGAGACATGCAATCGTAATTAGGAGAAAACAAGACTATACTCGAAACTCTACAAGCAATCCTATTAGTAAATTTCTCCCCTTTGTCATCTCATCTAAACCATTCAAATCTAGTAATCTGCCTAATCGAATTGGGAGAAGGATCACAGTCTCTCTCCCTCCATAGATGTTAAGTTCGTGATGAGATGTTTTGGTATTAGAATGGTCAAGTCGGAACACAAATGAGGAGAGAAACCCTTTGTTTGAACAAACATCAAGATATAGATCATAAACTTCGGTGCTAATTTATTCAATTGTTGTCCAACAAGTTTAGGGTGATGGGAGTAGGCAGGAAACAACAAGGTTTCAGATAGCAGGAAATAGGGAGCCCCTTAGAACTCCATCCATTACAGGAAAATTCTGGTGGAGAACCCCATTGTTAGCACCACCTCCCTTGCCGTCAAAGCAGTAGACAGGGGCTTGCCATTTCTCATCCTCCAGCACAGCACCCACTTCAAATGTCATCACATGAGCCTCTCTTCCTGCACAATTGGGGAAGGGAAAGTGAAAACCCTAATATATAGCAGCAAATTAAGAATCGGGCAGACAGAGACAGAGGGTTACCAGTATAAAAGACCCAATGAACAGGCCTTTTGGTCTCAACATCCTCGTAATACCAGATGAAATCGACCTTCTCCCAGACATTGCAAAGGAAGCCATTGACATGGCGTTGACCAAGATAATTGGCTCCATCGAGCCAATTGGGTCGGAGAATACCCACCTCGAACTTAAACGGAGAGCAAGTCTTGGAGGAGTCCAAAGTGTAGTAGAAGGAAGTGCCGTTGTTCCACTCGAGGTCGTAGAGGACGTTGCCGAGCTGGTGCTGGATGATGTTGAAATTACGACCATTGGGCCAGTCGTACCAGAGGTCGATTATCTGAAGAATTCCGCTATAATTCGCGAACAGAATTGAGTGGAATTGGAGAGGCCATGGGGTCGGAACAGGATCCTCCGAAACGGAACGCCGCACACTCACAGTCAGCAATGAAAGGACAAGGAAGAAGGTGGCCTTGGAAACCATGGCTTCTGGGTTCTCTCTCCTCTCTATCGGCCAGTAATGGACGGAGAAGAAGATGGAATTTAACTGAAAAAATAAAAAGTTGCAGAAAATAAACCTTATTTTCTGGATAACGATTTTCAGGTGGGAAAAATTTTAATTATTAAATATATGAATGGACGGTTATACCCTCTCCGAGTGCGTAGCCCTAGGCATTTCAAAAGTTAAAGGCTGAGATTTGTTTCTAAACAAATCCAACGGTGTTCACAGTTTCCAGCCGCTCCTTTATATTCGTCCTAGACGGCGCTCTGCTCCTGTTTCCTTGCATTCATCCTACCGCCCTGTGTCTCTCGCGAACTCCCGTTGGGATTTTAGGGTTCGCGATCCAGACGGTTGCTTCTTGATCATCATGGTAAACTCCAAATTTCCCTGCTACATTTGGATTATGCCTCTTCATCTCTTCCGAATTCGGATCATATAATTTTCACTTTCTTTCACGCTATTGACAGGTTCTTCAAAACGACATCGATTTGCTCAATCCTCCGGCTGAACTCGAGAAGAGAAAACACAAGCTCAAGCGTCTCGTACAGTCGCCCAACTCATTCTTCATGGTATGTCGATTCGTGTTCCTCCTTTAGACTTTTTTATTTTTTAATCTAATCGTTACTTTGATAATGGTGATCGAGCTGTTCTGTTAATTCTGAATGCAGGACGTGAAGTGTCAGGGTTGCTTTAACATGTAAGTATTCATCTTTTTCATGTATTATGGTTACATGTACTTTGTGTTTTCCCTATAGGGTTGGATATTTAGGTTGTTTATTAAGTGAGTGATGGCATAAAACTCTTTGAATGGAAAACAGAACGACTGTATTCAGTCATTCACAAACAGTCGTGGTATGTGGGAATTGCCAGACGGTCTTGTGCCAGCCAACTGGAGGGCGCGCTAGGCTAACAGAAGGGTGCTCCTTCAGAAGAAAGGGCGACTAAGTCCTTATCTCAGAATTGGCTTGCAGTAGGATCAGGATGGGTGGGTTTGAATTTTGATATTGCAATTGAGCACATTTTGTCTTTGTCTCGGGTTTTCTTCGTTATGGATGTTGATTATTCAATTTTGTTTGAGAAGAAGAGCATTTAGGCACCGTTGTTGCAGTACATTGATCTTAATGTTATCCATGAAACTAAGTTTTGTTTGAAGGAATTCACATCAAGTGTTTTTGCGAGCTCCCCAATTCCTTTTAATTGATCGGTGTGTTTAGATTTGCTTGCCTTTATGCCATGAGTTATAAATTTGTATCGTATTTTTAGCTGCTTTTAATCTTTGAGGTATTTACTTGTTCTTTCTCGAATGGTTTGTCATTTGTAAACCATTAGAATTATTTGTTCTTGTCTCAAATGTCCTGGAGAGTATAGTGGTTGCCTATTTGCTCTGCTTTTGACCCCCTTTTTTCAAGTGTAGTGGTTGTCTATTTGTATGATATTTGCATTGTCATACAATTTATCCTTCTGGTTGTTCGACTCTGGTTTTCCTTAATACGTTGCTCTTTGGATATGGCGAATGGATGTAGAAAAAGTTGGTCCATTTGTTTTCTGTGGCTGACATGGGCTTAGATATGTTATCAAGAGTAACTAGATATGTAGTTATATATTATCAGAACAGAGCAACAAATTGTTTTCAAGCCAATGCATATCAAGCCAATGCATTAAGGGCGTCCCATATTTAGCCTGATATTCTGTTGATTCAAAGATTTTGTGTATTCAATTTGGTTGGTTTGGATTGAGTTAGATTTAAATAAATGGAAGTTTTACGTGTTAGGGTTTAAAAGTTCTAAAATTAGTTTGGGTTACCTAAACTACCTTGATTGTTAATGTTTATGATATATATGTATATATATATATATTATAGTTTTATTATTATTTTAAATATTTGATCTTCAAAATCTCTTAATTTATTCTTTTGGTTTGAAAATAAATAAATAGATATTTTAAATGTTTATTTTATTATAAATAAAATTTTAAATTAGTGATCCGATTAGATCGTGCTAAATTTATTGTTTAAGAAAGAGAAAATTTACTTTGGGTTAAATTTCAAATCAATTGACTTTTAATAAATTTATTTTTTAAAGTCTTGTAACTAATTATTTAATATTTAATAATAATTTGGTGGTTTTATTTGTAGGTTAATATTATTTCTCACATATGAAAAATCTAGAACTGTATAATATACCCTCTAAGTTCGTTCTTGATGAACAGGATTCCCTGTTAGTTATATATTGTTAATTGCGAATAAAATTTTTAAAAATTAAAATTAAATGAAGAGGCTTTATATTTCAATCAAATATATATATATATTTTTTAAATTAAGCCATGGTAAATTGCAATTAAAATATTATAAATAAATAAAAAAAATAAAAACAGCAAACCAGCCCAGCCCAACAACTTCCACCCTGTCTTTTGAAGAAACCCTAAATCTCCCTAATTCAATCTTCCATTTCTCTCAATCTCCCGTTTCTCAATCTTAGATCTCTCTCTCACCTCTCCCGAGCAGAGTCTACGGACCCCGTCCCCCGATTGCTTCCCCAACTCCCCAGCTCTCGTTTTCAATCCTTCTCAGATCTCTTCCGGTGGTCCGAGATCTCTCTGTCTCCAACTCCCAGCGGCATCTCTTACGAGCATAATCCCCCGTACTAGCGGCCGGCAGCAGCTCTCTCTCACGAACCCACATCGCGGCGGCTTCTTTCTCTCTCGAGCACCCATCCCCGCCGGTAACTCTCTTTCAAAAGCACCTAAGTTTTATCATAAATTCTTGTGTTGTTGGAAATCATATGAAAACTTCCTCCAGACCTCCTGCTCGAAAAACATTTTGTTTCTCTGTTGTTTCTCTTTTAAATTTAATTCAATAACCTTTCCCTGCTTAACCACTCATGGAAACGATGGGTTTTCTTGATTCAATGCATTCCCTCATGTATTTTTCTTTTTCCTTTTCCACAGTATTCTCATTTTATTACGATGGCTGATGGTCATGAAACTGATAAGAACATTGAAATATGGAAAATTAAGAAGTTGATTAAAGCACTTGAAGCTGCAAGAGGCAATGGGACTAGCATGATCTCTCTCATCATGCCTCCTCGTGATCAAATATCTCGTGTTACTAAGATGCTTGGTGATGAATTTGGAACTGCTTCGAACATTAAGAGTAGGGTAAATCGCCAATCTGTTTTGGGCGCCATCACGTCTGCTCAGCAGAGACTCAAGTTGTATAACAAGGTTCCTCCAAATGGGCTTGTGCTATATACTGGAACAATCGTGACTGAAGATGGAAAAGAAAAGAAAGTTACAATTGATTTTGAGCCTTTCAGACCTATAAATGCTTCTCTCTATCTCTGCGACAACAAGTTCCATACGGAAGCCCTGAATGAACTTCTAGAATCTGATGACAAGTTTGGCTTCATTGTCATGGATGGTAATGGAACACTTTTTGGGACATTGAGTGGTAACACACGTGAAGTCCTTCACAAATTTAGCGTCGACCTTCCTAAGAAACATGGAAGAGGAGGTCAGTCAGCACTTAGGTTTGCCCGTCTTCGGATGGAGAAACGACACAACTATGTCAGGAAAACAGCAGAGCTTGCAACCCAGTTCTATATTAATCCGGCCACTAGTCAACCCAATGTTGCAGGATTGATACTGGCTGGATCAGCTGACTTCAAAACAGAGCTCAGCCAATCTGACATGTTTGATCCTCGTCTTCAGGCTAAAATACTTAATGTGGTTGATGTCTCTTACGGAGGGGAAAATGGATTTAATCAGGCTATTGAATTGTCGTCCGAGATTTTGTCTAATGTAAAATTTATACAGGAGAAGCGTTTGATTGGAAAATACTTTGAAGAGATTAGCCAGGACACGGGGAAATATGTTTTTGGTGTTGAAGACACACTGAAAGCTCTGGAGATGGGTGCTGTTGAGATACTAATTGTTTGGGAAAATTTGGATATCAATAGGTACGTATTAAAGAATGTTTCCACTGGTGAGGTTATTATAAAGCACTTGAATAAGGAACAGGAAGCCAATCAGAGCAACTTCCGTGACCCCGTCACCGCTGCTGAATTGGAGGTTCAAGAAAAAATGGCCTTGCTGGAATGGTTTGCAAACGAGTACAAGAAGTTCGGTTGTACCCTGGAATTCGTTACAAACAAATCACAGGAAGGATCACAATTCTGCAGAGGTTTTGGTGGTATTGGAGGAATTCTTCGTTACCAGCTTGACATAAGATCGTTTGATGAACTATCCGATGGGGAAGAGTATGGTGATTCTGAATAGCAATCAATCAATCACTCCTCGTTGCTGGTGCAGATGGGGGATAAAGAGCTTGCACCAGCGCCCAGGGTTCTCGGAGGTTAGTTTTGGATTGAACTTTGTGAAGGATTTATATAATGAACTTTGTCTTATGGTTACATGCTCAATAGTCTACCTTTTGTACTCGTAGGGGTTATGTCCTTTTGATCGTGATTTGGCGCCTATCTGATAGATCTTCAAGGATGCGTGCTCCAATCTATAGCCACAGTGCTCTGCCCTTGTTCTCGCGGAATGGTTGCTTCCTACAGCAGATACTCAGTTACAAAAATATTTCAAGTATTACAATAATATTCAATGCCGTATGACCTTAGATTTTTGAGTTTGTGTCGTTTTGACTATTTATCGTTGCTGATAAACCATGTCAGTTGGATTTGAATTCATATGCATGTTACAGTGTTTTAAGGTTGTTTTGGTAAGGTATGGTTTTTGGATATCTAAAAACAATGTGTTTGGAATTAATAGAAAACGGCATCAGGAGCTAGGCTACTTTTTTAAAGATGCATTTAAAGCGTTATTATACTTTGCCCAAGTGTGTTAGGTATACCTTTAGGAAGTGCTTATGGATAAGTTTGTTTTAGTTTGACGCATGGATGTGGTTTTGAACCTTTGTCCATGTCATTTGTTTTGATGAAGTGCTTTTACCCAAGTTATTTACTTTTGGAAGTGCTTTTACCCAAGTTATTTACTTTTGGAAGTGCTTTTACCCAAGTTATTTAATTGGTCACACAACCTAATAATAGGAAGCAATTGACATAATAAACCAATATATTAGGAATGTTCCCATTAATTAAGCACTGAAATCTTAGAACCCCCTAAAATAGATTATTTGATTTACTTAGTTAATAAAATACTACTATTACTAAATTTAACGTCACTTCATACGGTAATTATAGAATGTAGAGACCTTAATACCTATAATTTGCTCCGCAATGGCTTCAACTTGTGAATGACATACAATCTATAGCCTAAGATCTCAGATCTATTATTCATGTAGAAAGGAGTCTCAAGTACGTTGCCAGCAGATAAAGATGTATGCAGCTTACAGGCGGGTAAGAACATAATTCAAATTTCAGACTACAACAAAACTAACCCAAGAGGAGAAATGGTATGGCCAAGTTATGGATACATCATAGTAAGGTAAGCAAGAGATAGAAGGCGGTGGAAATGGCTCACCTCGGTGGCACCCAGGTTTTCAATCACTGCTATCTTGTTTCCTGGAGCCGAGAAGAAAGGAGTTAAGAAATGCGTGCCCAAGAGAGTGAAAAAAAGTACCGAGTTGAGAAAAGATAGGCAACCTCGAAGGTCCAGTTCTCGCTCCTTAATGGCATTGAAGAAATGAGGGCTTTTCCAGATTAAATCCACTCTGGGTCTCCCCATGTTCTTCTAACTTGAATTCACTGGACGACGATGGGGTTTCGGGGTTTAAGGGTTTAGGGCGTCGATGTCAAACGACAGCAAGCAGCGCTGCGTGGATCGGAACACGAGACGTCCACATTTCGGTCCGGACCAACCCCCTTAATGGACTTTCAGACGACCCAAATGAATTCACATTTGGGTCTCTCCATCTATATGGTTGTGTATTAAAGTTCTAGACTTTTTAAGAAATTAGACTGAATTCACATTTGGGTTAATTCATTATTCATTTTGTTAGTGAAAACTAATTGAATATTAATCCCGTCAAACTGGGATTTTCCCGCCCCAATCAGGTTAGGGGGTCGCAGTGTTTACCTTTTCTAACCCAGCTACACTAATAATGGACTGGGTCCTCGTACATCGCTACACATACCTTCCCTACTCGTTTCTTTTCTCTTCTTCTCTCCTTGGCCGGCACTTTCACCTCGTGGGTAATCATTGAAGAGTCATCAGGGTAGTGGGACGGGTTGTAA